CGAACTTTGGCAACGGTGCATACTCAGGGAGAACACTTCTTGATAATTTAGTGAGAGATCATCTTATAATGCTACCGTCAATCAAAGCAAGATAAGATGCATAAAAAGATAAACATCACATGCAATCAATATAAGTGATATGATATGGCCATCATCATCTTGTGCTTGTGATCTCCATCTCCGAAGCACCGTCATGATCACCATCGTCACCGGCGCGACACCTTGATCTCCATCGTAGCATCGTTGTCGTCTCGCCAATCTTATGCTTCCACGACTATCGCTACCGTTTAGTGATAAAGTAAAGCATTACATCGCGATTGCATTGCATACAATAAAGCGACAACCATATGGCTCCTGCCAGTTGCCGATAACTCGGTTACAAAACATGATCATCTCATACAATAAAATTCAGCATCATGCCTTGACCATATCACATCACAACATGCCCTGCAAAAACAAGTTAGACGTCCTCTACTTTGTTGTTGCAAGTTTTACGTGGCTGCTACGGGCTTAAGTAAGAACCAATCTCACCTACGCATCAAAACCACAACGATAGTTTGTCAAATAGACTCCGTTTTAACCTTCGCAAGGACCGGGCGTAGCCATACTTGGTTCAACTAAAGTTGGAGAGACAGTCGCCCGCAAGCCATCTCTGTGCAAAGCACGTCGAGGGAACCGGTCTCGCGTAAGCGTACGCGTAAGGTTGGTCCGGGTCGTCTCGTCCAACAATACCGCCGAACCAAAGTATGACATGCTGGTAGGCGGTATGACTTGTATCATCCACAACTCACTTGTGTTCTACTCGTGCATATAACATCAACATAAATAACCTAGGCTCGGATGCCACTGTTGGGTTCTACTCGTGCATATAACATCAACATCGGGAGAGTGTTGTCTACGTACCCAACGCAGACCGACTGCGGAAGCGCTGACACGACGTAGAGGAAGTAGTCGTACGTCTTCACGATCCAACCGATCAAGCACCGAAACTACGGCACCTCTGAGTTCGAGCACACGTTCAGCTCGATGACGATCCCCGGACTCCGATCCAGCAAAGTGTCGGGGAAGAGTTCCGTCAGCACGACGGCGTGGTGACGATCTTGATGTACTACAGCAGCAGGGCTTCGCCTAAACTCCGCTACAGTATTATCGAGGATTATGGTGGCAGGGGGCACCGCACATGGCTAAGGAATAGATCACGTGGATCAACTTGTGTGTTTCTGGGGTGCCTCTGCCTCAGTATATAAAGGAGCCAAGGGGGGAGGGGGTGCCGGCCAAGGAGGAGGGCGCAGGAGGAGTCCTACTCCTTCCGGGAGTAGGACTCCCCTCCAATCCTATTCCAACTAGGATTCCCCAAAGTGGGAAAGAGGGAGAGGGGGGCCAGCCACCTTCTCCTAGTCCTAATAGGACCAGGGGAGGGGGAAGTGGCGCAGCCACCTTGGGCTGCCCCTTTCTCCTTTCCACTAAGGCCCATGAAGGCCCATATGGTTCCTGGGGGGTTCCGGTAACCTCCCGGTAACCCGGTAAAATCCCGATTTCACCCGGAACACTTCCGATGTCCAAATATAGGCTTCCAATATATCAATCTTTACGTCTCGACCATTTCGAGACTCCTCGTCATGTCCGTGATCACATCCGGGACTCCGAACAACCTTCGGTACATCAAAATGCATAAACTCATAATATAACTGTCATCATAACCTTAAGCGTGCGGACCCTACGGGTTCGAGAACAATGTAGACATGACCGAGACACACGTCTCCGGTCAATAACCAATAGCAGGACCTGGATGCCCATATTGGCTCCTACATATTCTACGAAGATCTTTATCGGTCAGACCGCATAACAACATACGTTGTTCCCTTTGTCATCGGTATGTTACTTGCCCGAGATTCGATCGTCGGTATCCAATACCTAGTTCAATCTCGTTACCGGCAAGTCTCTTTACTCGTTCCGTAATACATCATCTCACAACTAACATATTAGTTGTAATGCTTGCAAGGCTTATGTGATGTGTATTACCGAGAGGGCCCAGAGATACCTCTCCGACAATCGGAGTGACAAATCCTAATCTCGAAATACGCCAAACCAACATCTACCTTTGGAGACACCTGTAATGCTCCTTTATAATCACCCAGTTGCGTTGTGACATTTGGTAGCACCCAAAGTGTTCCTCCGGCAAACGGGAGTTGTATAATCTCATAGTCATAGGAACATGTATAAGTCATGAAGAAAGCAATAGCAACATACTAAACGATCGGGTGCTAAGCTAATGGAATGGGTCATGTCAATCAGATCATTCAACTAATGATGTGACCTCGTTAATCAAATAACAACTCATTGTTCATGATCAGGAAACATAACCATCTTTGATTAACGAGCTAGTCAAGTAGAGGCATACTAGTGACACTTTGTTTGTCTATGTATTCACACATGTATTATGTTTCCGGTTAATACAATTCTAGCATGAATAATAAACATTTATCATGATTATAAGGAAATAAATAATAACTTTATTATTTCCTCTAGGGCATATTTCCTTCACCTGCGAGCGCAGAACTGTTGCACCATGCGTAGGTGAGGCGGTAGCTTGCTGTCGAAAGCTGGTTGAGTGCATGCCAGTTGTGGGAAGCCGTTGTTAGGTGAGGTTGTTCCCGGGTCTTGGTCATCCGTCGTTGTCGGATGTCTTGGTAGGACATTTGCTGAACTTGTGGGCGCCGAAGGAGGATGCAGTCCTTCAGTACAAAGTACAAAGATTTGCATGCCACCACCGAGCCCAAGCCTTGCTTGATAGGTCTTCTTGTTGACATTCTTCTTTACGAAGATGTGCATACCACCACCAGGGAGCATGATGGCACGCAGTTCTTCTCTCTTCTTGAGCTGGAACCGTGGCGATCATGAGGCGCACGGTTGGTGCATGACGCATCTTGTCACGACATCAATAAGATGTGAACCATACTTGAGCGGCTGGAGGGAGGAAGAAGCTTTTGTGAGGGTGTGGATTAGGGCTGGAAGAAGAAGATGATGGAGAACGGCTGGATTTTGATCCCCGGGCTAACAAAATTGAATGATTTTTTTTCCAGGCAAATGTCAAGTAGTCACCGGCCAATTTTCCTAATTTCCCCAATTTTGCAAGTACGCGCACCACATGTTGATGCAAGCAAGCTACTGGCTCCCATGTCCCAATCACAAGGAGATACATACATTATTCTTCATTCCCTCTCCAATTGATGCACTGATCGCAAAAATATTATTTTTCAACGAGACATGCATGCAAACATAAAGATCCGTATCGATCCATTAATTCGTCAAACTACTCGAAATAATTATATAGCGGTGTTAGTTGTTGCCCAGCAAGGCTGTTTATCTGACTGAAACGAAGAAAACAACAGTGCTCCAAATGTTAATCTTGTTTAGTTGTTTAGCAAGGGGAAAAAGACAAGAATGCTAAATTGCTAGTAGCACTTGTCATTTTATTCTAGCGTCTCTGATGATCTGGTCACAGTATAAGGCTGGCCATAGTGGGGGTAATATAAGGTTGGTTGTAATGAGGAGTATCATATACCAGTACTCCCTCCATTTTTATTTAGTCCGCGTATTAGCTTTAGTCAAAGTCAAGCTTTCTAAACTTTGACCAAATCTATAAACAAAAATATTAACATATACAATAACAAACCTATACCATTAGATTTATTATTAAATGTACTTTCACAACATATAGATTTCTTATAGGAAATGTTTGTACTTTTTTCTTAAAATTTGGTCAAACTTTACAAAGTTTGACTTCAGTCAACTCTAATATGCAGAGTAAATAAAAACGGAGGGAGTATCATGCATATGATACTAATCTATGATACTACTCCCTCCGGTCCTTTTTACTCCGCACATTAGCTTTGTCTGAAGTCAAAGTTTGTTAAGTTTGACCAAATTTATATTACAAAATATTAACATCTATAACATCTAATAAATATAATATGAAAATATATTCTGAGATGGATTTAATAATAAATGTGTTGTTATGTTAATGTTAATAATTTTTTGTATAAACTTGGTCAAAGTTAGATGAGATTGACTTCAGACAAACCTACTATGCAGAGTAAAAAGGACCGGAGGAAGTACATCCCTAATGCATAGTATCATATGTTGGTATCATAGAGGACTATATTTATTGTCATGCATGACACAAGTAGCACATCATTTAATATGATACGGTATCATGATATGATACTCAAGTCTCTCTTTCTTCATTTAATTCTATGCCACCTCATCAAAATTGCTTAGTTGGCATGCATGATACTACCTATGATACTCTCATTACGGGTAGCCTAACTAGTATCATATACTTGGGACTCGCAAACATGCTTACATGGCAGGAAATTAAAGAAGAGAGAGAGAGTCATAGTAACATAGGTAGATACCGTAACATAATAAATGTTATGGTACTATGTGTCATGCATGGCAATAAATAAGACCACCTATGATACTACTTTATGATACTATGCACTATGGATGTAGTATCATACACTAGTATCATATGCATGATACTAGTATATGTTACTCCCCACTATGACCAGCCTAAGAAGTAGTGCTACTACTCCAAACAAAAGCCAAATTTACTGGATTTTGAACACCCTTGATGCACGCTACAGCTATAGCTCCCAAACACGACCAGATCTACAATTTCCCCCTCTCTTCCTCCCCCCATTGATGCACCACTGGTCTGTAAGAGCAAAAGTATTAATGGAGATCACAGGATGGCAGTAAACCGCAGCAGGTACCCGCTCCTTTAATCGTCTCCTTAACGCCCCCCACCTACCGTCGCCCAGGCCGATCGATGAGCTGCCACCACTTGAATGACGCTGCCTCCCCGGCTATAAAACCTCCCGCCACCTTTCTTCCTCCTCCACCTCCCACAGAGCTAGAAGCAGCAAGCAAGCAAGGCAAGCAGCCACTCACACACTAGCCAGGAGCAAGAGCACCAGTTCACGAGCAAGCTAGCGATGGAGAAGTCCACCAAGATGGTGGCGGTGCTCGTCCTCGCCGTGCTGGCCGCGGCGACCAGCGCCGAGGCGAGGAACATCAAGACGACGGAGGCGGCGTCCGCCAGCAAGGACGCGGTCCTGCAGCCGACGACCTTCCCGCCCTTCGATCGCCTCGGCAGCGGGTCGCCGGGGTTCGGCGGGCTCCCCGGCAGCAGCGGCATGCCGGGATTCAGCCTCCCCGGCAGCAGCGGCGCCACCCCGGGCTTCGGCAGCATCGGCAGCATGCCCTTCCTTGGCGGCAGCTCCCCCGGCCTCGGCGGCTTCGGCGGCATGCCGGGCTCCCCCGCTGCAGCTGCCGTCGACGAGCACGCCAAGAAGCCGTGAAAAGCTGAGGGCGGCTGTTGATAGCTAGATCCGCTGGTGTGTGGCAAGCACTGACGGGGCGCATGGTTGATGGTTCGGTAGTGCTACTCGTAGCGTGCATGCATGGTTCTGTGGGCGCTATACGCCGCGCGTACGTACGTTTGGAGAACTCGATTTGTTTGTTGTGTTTGTCGCTTAATTACGTCGTTAGGTCAATCTCTATCGGTCGTTCGTGTTAAGTTCTTTGTATCTGTAGTAGTGGAGCATGTTCTTGAGGCATATGAATAATGCTAGATGTACGTGTCAGCTTGTGCCGTGGTATGCAATGATGAAATGAAATGGAGTATTATTGTACTAGTAATCTTTTGTTGGTTTACTTGTTAATTACGAGCTTGACTACCATTTGGTTGGAACAGCAAACTCGCATTGTGTTTTGGTCGGAGTATATTGCTAAGCTCAGTAGTGTCGATTGGCTGAATGAAACTTGACGATCTAGACAAGTTTTTCTTAAGTCCTCATCACCATTGGAGATTTCCTAGCTGAAGTGCATCAACAGATATCTTGAACGGTACTGGAGTAAAAAAAATTGAAGGGAAAAAGAAAGAGATGTCTTTAGATGACACGAGTTGGAAGCCCAATTAACACGGCCCAGTTAATTAGCTACTCCCTCCGTTCGCATCTAAAAATTACCCCCTCTGTCTCATAATATATGCAAAATTATCTTATATTATGAGATGAAGGAAGTAATACTGTACTAGTATAAATTAAGACCAAGACAGAGGGTGAATAAAACACCACTGCTCGGCAATAGTGAGAAGGAAAAATAAATTATTATCAAAACTGAAAAGAAAGAGCGCTAGCTAGCTTTGAAGTTACCACATGGCATTGCAGGTTGCAGCACGTACAGGCAGTACTGCTGTCGATGTAAATCAGCTGCAGGCTGTAGGGGTAGGGGTGGGAGTAACTATTCTCGCATTTATGTACATTACCTCATTCTACGTATAAGGAGTAGTAGTCATGCCTCTGTATCCAAACCGCTATACATACAACACTTGGGCCCAGTTCTTTTGTCAGAATCTGGGAATTCTCCCAGAATCCGACTCTTACCAAGCTTCTCTCAGAATTTTGAGCCCAGTTTGTTTTACAATCCTATCTAATTAGACCCTAACTAGATAGGATTGTAAAACAAATGTGGCTCAAAGATTTTGGGGAAGCTGGATAGGGGTCGGGTTCTGAGAGAATCCTCTGATTCTGGCAAAATAACTGGGCATTGTTATTCTACCTTCGTACGACAAGAAATCCAACGGCTTACTGCATTTTGCCTCTATAGGTGTGGATTTTCCTTTCCAACAAAAACAAAGTATGTAAAAAGACGACATATACCAACTGAGCTGCCCCGCGTCGTCCACGTGGGCGACACAAGCGGCCTGCAGATCCATTTTTTCGGCGAGCTTCTGCCTAAGCGTCCTCTCATCGTTGCTGCCGTCGCCGCCGGGTTTGCCTGTGTGGCCGATGGCTGTTCGTGTTGCTATTCGACGAGGTGTGGCGATGTATAGGTAATGGCTTTGATGCAGTACAGGTGGTCATGATGTAGCAGCAAACAGTTCGTTCTAGGGCACGGGCGGCTGCGCGCCTTCCTAATCTTTCACACCGTCGGGTTGCAGCAAGCGCCCATGTGGCGGTGGAAAGGAAAGGGAGCAACACCGCCATGTCCTTCAACTTGGAGAGCCGGTGTGCTCTAGAGGAAGTCGTCACCTGCGCCGCCGGCTGGCATGTGTGGTGACCATGTAGCAGATGTTGCCACCGTCGCAAGCGATCTGGCCTGCGCGCACCATGCTTGGTTGGTTGGCGCTATCTTTGTGGCCGTGTCATCGACTCGACGGTAGGCGCCGGAAGGTCGGAGGGGCTTCGACCTTCGGATCCGGTGAGGTTCGCGTTGAACATGGGAGAACTGGTAGAAGATCAAGACAAAGACTTTCAGAGGGTAGCCTACAAGGCAAGGTTCATCACAACCTACTCAACTAAGACAAAGCCCAAAATTGCTTGTGGTTGCACATGGAAGCAACTATTCATGAAACCGGTTGGTCTTTTTAAGCCTTAACGGCTGTCCACTAGTGTGCAATGCCATAGGTGAATCTTTTAAGAAATCACATTCTCCATGATGCTAATTGTACCTCACCACTTTATAATTACTATTCCATCCACGTACCACGAATTTAGTTGGTCTTCCTTACTACATTATCATTCATAAATTCCCACGAATTACACTTCACCGAAGTATCCGCCTACTTCAGCAAATTAAGCAAACTACAACGACGACAGACAAGTAATTAGAACTCGGACCTACTTATTGAACTACAGTGGGATCATACTTGCATATTTAGGATATATAAAGATGCTCATACGTACTACTCAAAAATATACTAAATGCTTAGAAAAGATGTAGGTAAATGGACATGCACGAAAGAATGTGACTTGCCTTGGTGCCGGTGATGATACTCTAATTCATTAAGTAAGCGGCTTCGCACTCCAAACAATCTATCATAGAATGAAACAAATTTGTAAACAATTATAATTAAGCATGCAAATAAAATTACTTGCAAAGATAGCAAACAAAACTCAACAAAACATATTATTCCCTTTGATCCAAATTAATCGACGCAACCTCTATACAATGTAAGTAAGATATTGTATAGAGGTTACGTCAATTAATTTGGATCGGAGGGACTAGTATATATAGCCTTAGCTAATATAGGGTATGTGCAGAAGTGCAGCTATAAAAGCGAAAGGCATAAAAGATACATCATATACATGACATAGGAATGATTTTGATGTGTACTATTAACGGCTTAGTAGATAGGATTTGATCAGGCTTCCATCATGCAAACAGACACAACTAAATTGGATCTCCAGATTGCAAGATATGGCTAAAATAATATATAAATTTGAATTTGCATTGATCACATTTGAATAATTAAAAATGTTAAACTAATAGGTCATAAGCACTCCAAGACTACCAATTTGCAAAATGTTCGTCTTCTTTGGAGCTACAGTTGAAAAGTTAGAATGCTAGAAGTTTCGTGGGATTTTCTGCAAAATAGTGTGACACGTGGCAGCATCAGACTAGTTGATACCGATTCATGGCTAAATAAGATAGTCGTCCTATTTAAATGAAAATGGACAGACCAGATCAAAAGATACCGATTCACGCTCAAACAGAATAACAACCGTTGGATTTAAGTGCACATCTAGGGCCAAGTTCAAACAACAATTTGGCAGAAATAAATTCTAATTTGCACAATCTATTTCTAAACAGACGAATGAGAATGAGATGGGGCGGTAGTGGACAGTGGCGGCCATGGAGAAGACAAGTGGCACGACGACTCGGGTCAAATGTGGCATGGTCTCCGACGGTTGTCAGGGTTAAAGTTGTCGCAGTCATCACGGCGGTGTGGTTGGTGATCTGGACGGGTGTGGAGTGCTCGGCGGTGCTCTGGTGTGGTTGGGTGTGCACTATTTAGACGATGTGGTGTTCCATGGACAAAAACAGTATGCCAAAACGACGCGGAGCAGCAAGGCAAGAAAAGAGAGAAAGAGATGATCATAAAACTAACGACCCTCGATGCCCATACTGTTTTGAGAAAGGAATTAGGCCCGGGGCCTAAAATGGTCGCGATCTGTTTGGTGTGTTACTGGGCTGAAACACTGTTCCGGTCTAGTTAGGATAGGATTTCATAATAAAATTAGTCTAGAAATTGATTTTGGCTCAAATAATAGTCTAATATATATATTTTCAGAAAATACCAGAAATTTGCAAAAAATAATACTCATATAGAGCCTAGAAAAATTATTCCCAACTCAAAGTGCAATTTTGTAAATTCATTTTATTTTATACAGCTAGTTTGGACCAAATAATAATTCTATTTGTAGGGTTTATTTAATTCCCATGACTGGATTTATCCACTCCAAATGACATCTTAACATTTTCTCACTCTTTTCATAAGGAAAATAAGTGATATTATCTTCTCTCTTTTAGTTCCTTGAGTGGAAAAAAAATAAGGCAGCCCGGTGCATGTAGCTCCCGCTTGCGCAAGGTCTGGGGAAGGTCCGGCCACTTTGGGTCTATTGTACGCAGCCTTTCCCTATATTTCTGCAAGAAACTGTTTCCATGAGTCGAACCCGTGACCTCTTGGTCACAAGGCAACGCACCAAGGCTCCCCTTGGTTGAAGATAGTTTAAATTTAAATGTCCTAGAAAGTCCAAATATGCATTTAAATAATAAGATGTAAATTAATGCTTTTATAAACGTCCTAATAATTAATAAAAGTGGGATGTTACATCTTGTGTGGTCTTTGTGGTTGTTGCTAGAAACCCATGGTGCTTTGATGCCATGGATCGATTCATCATCCACCGGAATAATGATGATGGGACGATGTCATTTTAGTGATCGAATCATCGTTGAAAGTAAATGATGAGATGGTCATGTTTGGAGATGCAGTTCGCCAAAGTGAAAGAAAACTTACTTCGTATGCCCTTGTTCAGGTATTGAATACTTGCAGTGCAACACTTATTGCTTCTACAAAACTCATAGTTAGGTCTTTTGCCATCCATATCCATTTCAAGTGTCACACTGATTTAAATGATCTTATATTTCTTTACAGAGAGAGTACCTTTTAGGAAGTGATCTAAATGGTCG